CTTGTGCTTGGAATGTGTGGTGACTTTGTGATCCACCCTGAGCTTTGCTTTGCTTTGCTTGACTGGTCTTGTGACCCCTTGTTCTCCCCCACTTTGCCTATGGGGGTGTATCAGAACATATAGCTTACTTATTTGTGTAGGCTATAGTGGGGTATCCCATAGGGGATACAACCCAATTAGGGTTTCCTATTTGTACTCACTTCGTTCATAGTCATTTCATTCTCGTTCAGTTCTTCTCAATCGCCACACCTTGAACGCGTGCACGATCGCCAGCATTTCGCGGTCGTGTATCGGGTAGTTGCGTTCGGACGGGTGAGGTACGCGATTGGCTGAAGGCCGTTCCCAAAGTCCTGCAACAGTACTGCTCCTACAGCGATGTCGCTAGCGTCGGTGACGAGCTCAAACGGACGGTGCGGATCTGCGATGTGAAGCACGGGTGGTGAGCACAAAATATTTTTGAGGGTCGAGAAGGCAGCTTGCTCTTCTCCCCCCACGTGTACTCAACCCCCTTCCTCAGCAGGTCGGTCAACGGGGCAGTCAGCTTCGCCATGTCGGGGACGAAACGGCGCACGTAGTTGACGAACCCCAAAAAACTTTGCAACTCGGTCAAGTTGGTTGGCGCGTGCCATGCTTGAATCGTCGCGATTTTTTTCGGGTTTATTTCCACTCCTGCAGCTGAAATAATGTGTCCCAAAAACTCTAGTCAGTCCTGTAGAAACTCACACTTCAACGCTTTTGTCAATAGGCGGTTCTCACTCAGAATCTTAAAAGCTGCTTCGATGTCCTGTAAGTGCTGTGCTCTGTCGAGGCTGTAATTCAGTATGTCGTCAAGGTACACGATGACGCACTTATGTAAAAGCGGGCGGAAGGCTTCATTCATGGTCATTTGAAAAGTGGCAGGGGCGTTGGTCAGCCTGAAGGGCATGACGGTATATTCAAAGGATCCGTAGCGCGTCTGTAAGGCTGTCTTAGGGCAGTCGGGTAGGCTGACGCGAATCTGGTGGTAACCTCCCCGAAGGTCGATTTTCGAGAAAACCCAAGCTGTGCGCAGTTGGTCGATCAGTTCGTCGGCTCGCGGGATGGGGTAACGAGATTTGATGGTAACCCTATTCAGTGCTCTATAGATTATGCACATACGAAACCACCCATCCTTCTTCGGCGTGAACAGTATCGGTGCTGCAAAGGGCGACGAGCTAGGGCGAATGAACTCCTTCTCGAGCAGGTAATCCAGCTGCTTCCTCAGTTTGTCCACTTCGGGTTGGGTCAGTGGGAACTGTTGCTGTACTGTTGGCTGTGCCCCCGGTTCAAGTTCTATCCTGTGGTCGTGCGGTCACTGAGGTGGCAGTCCCGTTGGTAAGTCGTCCGGGAAAATGTCACTGTACTGCTTCAGTATTGCAGCCAGATCATTCGGTACGTCGGCTAGCAGCTTCTGTAAATCCCCCCCTTTGTCCGCTGCCTCGGCTTTCCAAATGTCAACCGCGTACACGTCAGCTCCTGCTGCTACGGCGTGTTCCATCGTGATCGCGTTGACACGCACCGACGAAGACTCAGGCGAGCCCCAGCGAGGTACGGCGATGTTGTTACCGTTCACTCGTACGGTGCAGTCACCCGTCGTCCAGTCAATCCGCGGATTGTGTCGTCGGAGCCAATCACGACCGAGTAAAGTGTCGGTTCCGTCGAGGGTCGTTGCGAGCATTTCCTGGCTAAACGTGAAGTTACCCCCGCATCGAATCCGAACCCGGTCCACACGTTCCCGTATTGCCAGTGGCGTGCCGTCGACCAGTATTGCGTCGATCTCAGGTAAGCATCGGTCAAGTAGCAGTCTTAGTTTTCGTGCTGTGGCAGTGTTGATAAGGCTGTGGCTGGCTCCTCCGTCCACGAAGATTTTAACTAATTCTGTCTTGATTTTCCCACTAAGCAGTTGTGAGAATCTAGCAGCAGGAATGAGTGCACTATGGAAGAGTAGGGTACAAGTATGAAACCCTAAACGAGGCTGTACCCCATATTGGCTACCCCACTACAGCCTACACATATACAACATGCATATACTTTGACACACCCCCATAGGCAAAGTGGGGGAGAACAAGGGGTCACAAGACCAGTCAAGAGAAGCAAAGCAAGCTCAAAGTGGATCACAACGTCACAACACACACTGAGCACAAGCAAAGGGCCACAAGGCCAATTCACATGCATAGGTATATATGCAACAAGAATAGCACAGTGATCTCTACCTAGTAGAGCAAGCATGCAGGTATATATATAGATCACACAACAAGTAAAGTCTACACCAAGTGAGGAAACGTGGGCACAAGGCCTAAGAAAGTACAAAAACGCTGATGATCACCAGACAGAAGTGCCTTGGTGAATATCTCAGCAGTGTTGGCCCGAGTGGCCACGTGAGCAAGACGAAGCTGACCACGCTGCTGCAACTCTCGAGCAAGGAAGTAACGCAGAGCGATGTGCTTCGTTCTGTGCTCCAGTCTGTGCTCCTGACACAAGGCAATGGCGGCCTTGTTGTCTACGTACAGCACTGGAGGAGAACGAGGCCGCTCTCCAAGGTCGGTCAGCAGGTAGGTGAGCCAGCCTAGCTCCTGTGCAGCCATGGCTGTGGCGTAGATCTCAGCCTCACAACTGGAGCCGAGAACAGAGGACGAGCGTGTAGACCGCCAAGAAATAGAGCCAGAGCCAAGGCTAAAGGTATAACTCTGTGACGACCGCTATGTGGCTAGGTCGTCGACCCAAGAAGCGTCCGAGTGCCCAGTGAGGACAACTGGGCTCCGCCCTCCAAGCACGAGCCCCATGCTCGATGTACTGCACAAGTAGCGCAGTACCCTCTTAGCAGCATCCATGTGCACCTTTCGGCGCCTACCAGGAGCCACGTAGCGAGCCAGAAGGCCAAGAGGATACGCAAGGTCAGGACGAGTGCAGGTCATCAGGTACATGAGGCAGCCCACTAGCCGCAGAGCTAGTGACCACTCGACTCTACACACTCGTCCGAAGGTGGAGCTGAGAGCGACTGACCTGTTGCTAGAGGAGTCGCCTATGCCGAGGACCAAGTGAAGCCGAAGCGCTGAAGGACCTACTGCACCATGTGTAACTGAGTCAGTGTGATGGTGCGGCGTGCTCTGTCCCGGGTGATATGCAAGCCAAGTTAGCTGTGCAACTCACCCAGGTCTGTGCACGTGTGTCTCTTCTGCAGCTCCAACTTCACCAGGGCGAGAGCCTCAATGTCAGTAGTGGCAAAGACCAAGTCGTCGACATATACGAGGATGTAGAACGGCGGCAACAAAGTGTCGGTGCGTAGAAACAGCGACGGGCCAGCAGTCGACGGAGCAAAACCAATAGCAGCAAGTGTCGTCTTCAGTATGTCGTGCCACTCATGTGGTGCTTGGCGGATACCGTAGACTGGCCGCCGAAGGCTCCACTGGGTACTAGGAGGGAATGACCCAGTGAAGCTAGTGTCAGACTAATATATAATTCTATATATTTTTCTATAACTACATGTAGTGTAGAATACTGTAGTCATATAACTTCCTAGTTGGTGGTGAAATTGTATGCTCTGTTTGCTATATGTACTCTTGTGCTATAGTGAACATCATCCCCTCTCAACTTTCTCGACACTTCTCCTTACCCTCGAACTCGATCAATAAGCTACTAAACCTATGGCTCCTAAGCCTACTCATGCTTAGAATCTTAACATGGAATCAGAGCGACTACACTCTTGGCCTATGGGCCCCACGTGCTTGCGCTGCTTTCCTGTCTGTCGCGCGCGCCGTGGAGAGCGACACCTTTTTCTTCCCGCCACGCGCTCGGGGCGCGTGGCGATTTTCCGCCCGCCGTGCGCCCCGGGCGCGCGGCGTCTTCCTGCCTCGTCGCCGCCCTTTTCGGCCCCTCATGGCCTCTTCGCGGCCCTGTCGCTGCTCCTCTCACGGCCCCTCGCGCCACCCTTAGCAGCCCCGTCGCCACACCTTGCAGCCCTGTCGCCGCCCCTATCAGCCCTGTCGCCACTCCTAGCGGCCCCGTCACCGCCCCTAGCGGCCCCGTCGCCGCCCTTCTCGGCCCCTCGCAGCCCCTTCGCGGCCCTGGCGCCGCCTGTTTTTGGCCCCGTCGCCACCCTTAGCGGCCCCGTTGCCGCCCCTAGCGGCCCTGACGCCGCCCTTCTCGGCCTAGTCGCCGCCCCTCGCGGCTCCGTTGCCGCCCCTAGTGGCCCCGTCACCTACTCGTCGCGCCCCCCCCCCCCCCCCCTCTGGCCGTCGCTTCTGCCTCCCCTGTGCCCGCGCCTGCTTCGCAACAGTTCGCGGGCCTGCCTTGCAACTGCAACCACCCCTGGAGCAGCCGCCACTGCAGCAGCCGTCCCTCGAGCAGCCGCCCTTGGAGCAGCCGCCACTGCAGCACCCGCTTCGGGAGTAGCCGCCCCTGGACCAGCCGCCCCTGGAGCAGCCGCCACCGCAGCAGCCGCCCCTGCAGCAGCCGCCCCTGCAGCAGCCGCTCCTGGAGCAGCCGCCCCTGGACCAGCCGCCCCTGGATCAGCCGCCACTGCAGCAGCTGCCCCTGGAGCAGCCGCCCCTACAGCAGCCGCCCCTGGCCTCTGGAGCAGCTCCCACTGCAGCAGCCGCCCCTGGAGCAGCTGCCCCTGCAGCAGCCGCCCCTGGCCTCTGGAGCAGCCGCTGTGAAAGTTAGATCGAGAGAATGATTTAACTATGAAAGAGTTGGGTACAAGTACTAACCCTAATTGGGTTGTACCCCTTATGGGCTACCCCACTACAGCCTACACAAATGTATAAGCTATAATGTTCTAACACACCCCCATAGGCAAAGTGGGCGAGAACAAGTGGTCACAAGACCAGTCAAGCAAAGCAAAGCAAGCTCAGGGTGGATCACAAAGTCACCACACAGTCCGAGCACAAGAGTAAGGCCACAAGGCCAGTACACATGCAAGATCATATTTATAAAGGTAAGCAAGCAAGTGCAAGTATAGAAAGAGTACAGTACAAACAAGATCAAGAAGTGAGCAAGTAAGGCCAGATAGGCACAAGACCTAGCAAAGTACAGAAGCGCTGATGATCACAAGGCGGAAGGGCCTTGGTGAAGATATCAGCAGTGTTGGCCTCAGAGGCCACGTAGGTGAGGCAGAGCTGACCACGCTGCTGCAGCTCACGAGCCAGGAAGTAGCGGAGAGCAATGTGCTTTGTTCTGTACTCCAGTCTCTCCTCCCGACACAAGGCCAGCATAGCCTTGTTGTCTACGTAAAGAACTGGAGGAGAACGAGGCGGCTCTCCTAGGTCAGTCAGCAAGTAGGTGAGCCAGCATAGCTCCTCTGCAGCCATGGCCCCTGCGTAGATCTCAGCCTCACAGCTGGAGGTGAGAACAGAAGACGAGCGGGTAGACCGCAACGAAACAGGGCCGGAGCCAAGGCTGAAGGTGTAACCCTGTGACGACCGCTGCAGAGCCTGGTCGTCAGCCCAAGAAGCGTCAGCGTGACCTGTGAGGACCACTCGACGTCGCCCTCCAAGCACTAGCCCCATGCCCGACGTACTGCACACATAACGCAACACCCTCTTGGCTGCAGCCATGTGCTCTGGTCGGTGTCTCCCAGGAGCAACATAGCGTGCCAAGATGCTGAGAGGGTATGCAAGGTCAGGTCGTGTGCAGGTCATCAGGTACATGAGGCAGCCAACAAGCTCTGGGTACGGGCCACTCGACTCTACGGACTCATCCGAAGGCAGAGCTGAGAGCGGGTGGCGAGTAGACAGAGGAGTGGCCTGAGGCGAGGAGTACGTGAAGCCGAAGCGCTGAAGGACATGCTGCACCATGTGTGAATGAGTTAGGGTAATGGTGCGCTCAGCTCTGTCCCGGGTGATCTGCAAGCCAAGGTAGCTGCGCAGTTCACCCAGGTCTGTGCACGTGTGTCTCTTCTGCACCTTAGACTTCACGTGGGCGAGTCCAGCAGTGTCAGCAGTAGCAAAGACCAAGTCGTCGATGTACACGAGGATGTAGAGCGGCGGCAAAGAGGTGTCGGTGTGCAGATACAGCGACGGGTTAGGTGTAGAAGGAGCAAACCCAAGAGCCGCAAGTGTAGTCCTCAGTGTGTTGTGCCACTTACAGGGTGCCTGGCGGAGACTGTAGACTAGCCGCCGGAGGCTCCATTGGGTACCAGGGGGAACCGACCCAGTGAAGCCAGGTGGGCGGCGCAGCCAGATCTCCTCGTGCAGGCTGCCCTGCAGGAAAGCTGTGCTGAAGTCAAGAGAGTGAAGCTCGTAGTCGCGCTGAGTGGCTATGTGCAGCAACACCCGAAGAGTGGTCATCTTCGGGGTGGGAGAGAAGGTCTAGAAGTAGTCAACTCCCTGCCACTGACTGAAGCCTCGAGCCACGTAACGCGCCTTGAAGACAGGCGGAGAACCCGACGACCGCTTCACCCTGAAAATCCACATGCCACTGACGATGTTTTCCCCAGGTAGGGGAACCTCGTCGACGTAGGTGCATGTGGACTTCCAGGAAGCCATCTTTGCGTCCATGGCTAACTACCGCTGAGAGGAGAAGGGACCCTCGATTGCCTCAGCGTACGATCAAGAAGTCGGGATGTCTGGTGCATCCGGGTCTCCCTCAGCAGCAATTAGTGTAGACACGAGATGGGGCAAAGCAGCAGCAAAGCACTGGAACTCCTTTTGCCTGTCCTCAAGGACGTCCGTGCTATGAGCACACTCAACCCCGACGGACGGAGGACGGACGGACTCAGACTCAGCAACGAGACTGGCAGCATAGTCTAGACGACAGCGAGCAGCGAAGTCGACAAGCTCACCAACTAGGGCAGACGCAGCAGTGGACTCAAAGGAAGGGTCAGTGACAATAGTAGCAAGAATGTGCGTGACCGAAGGACTAGCAGCACGAAGGGAGTCAGACTCCGGATCAGCAAAAGTAGTAAGAGAGGACTCTGGAGGAGACGGCAACGGGACACGCAGAGGAGCAGTGGAAGCAGCGCCATCTGGTGTGTGCCGGGGACCGCAGGTTGACGCGGACGCGCAGCACGACGGCTAGTGCGAGCAGCACGAACAGGCGACGCAGGACGAGACACAGGCTCACGACGCTCAACAAGACCTCTAGTAGGACCAGTGTAGGGAGAAGGAGCAGGTAGAGGGGAGGCGGGCTGTAACTCTGACTGCAACAGGACAGGTTGTGGACACTCTAAGGGAGAAGTAGGACCAAGAGAGGGCGGGAGACCAAGAACCTGCTCCAGGAGCGGAACGAAGTACGGCCTCGGCTGCTCAGCGCCTCCAGAACCAGCATGGTCAGCACCAGTGCCAGCAGCACCTCCAGCTCCGACAGCGTCAACTCTAGTACCCTCAGAAGCACCAGCGCCAGCAGCACCGCCAACGCCAACACCCTCAGCAGCTCCAGCTCCAGCACCACCAACTCCAGTAGGACCGTCAGCACCAGCAGCCTCAGCGGCACCCCCACACGCACCAGCGCTAGTAGAAACACCAGCGCCAACACCCCCACCAGCTCCAGCTCCAGCAGCACGAGCACCGCTAGCAGCTCTAGTAGGACCAACTCCAGCAGCCCCAGCGGCACCCCGAGTCTCTGCAGCACGTCTTCAGCGGCGGGCAAACCACTCGCGCAGCTCCTGTGGAGAGAGCGGCTCCCACCTCGACGAAGCACCGCCGGCGGCCACACGAGTAGACCCAGCGCCCCCACGCTCCGCACCCACAAGCTCCGCACCCCTAGGCTTAGCATCCCCAAGCCTCAGCACCCCCAGACCCAGCACCCCCAGGCTCAGCACCCCCAGACTCAGCACCCCCAGACTCAGCACCTCCAGACCCGGCACCTGCAGGCTCAACACCTCTAGCAGTACCAGAGTCAACAGCTACCTCGACAGGCTCGACTGCGTCTACCTGGGACACACCTGACGGGGCAGGACCCTGAGGGGGGAGGGGTTCTATCGGGGGAGGACCTGGCACAAGGAAGAGCGGCGGCGGGGGGAGGGGTGCAGTGCGGCAGGGGAAGAGACGGTAGTAAGGCACCGACTCGTCAAAGGTGACGTCCTGGGAGGACAAAACCCAGCGCGAGGTGGGGTGGTAAAACTGCCACCTAGGCGCGTCAGGGGGGAAACCAAGGAAGACGCAGGGAACTGCACGGGGGGACAACTTGTCCGCAAACAAGTCGCGGACAAACGCCCGAGATCCCCAGACCCAAAACGCAGACGCATCGCCAACCTTCCCAGTCCACCGCAAGGCGGGGGAGGTCTGTGGCAAGGAGACCAAGGGCTGAAGGTTGAGCTGATGCGCGGCGTACTGAACCGCAAACGGCCACAAAAAATGGGGGGCAGCCGCATGCATCATGGACGTACGAGCGACGTCCATGACCATGCCAATGCGGCGCTCAGCAATTCCATTTTGTTGTGGAGAGGCCGGAAGCATGAAGGTTTGGCGGATGCCCTGTGCATGACAGAAGGCTTCCAGACGGCCAGAGGAAAACTCCCCGCCTCTATCAGAGTGCAGACGGAGAACAGGAAAGTCCGAGCCGAAACTCTCTCTGAGCTGGAGACGAGCTGCGCGGATCCAGACGATCAACACCTCAGTGACGTCACCCTTGCTGCGCAAGGGGAAGACTGTGGTGTAACGCGAGTAGTCGTCAACCACCAACAGGAACTAACGCTCGTGCCCCTGGCCACGGACGCGGGCGGGGCCCCACACGTCCATGTGGAGGGTCTGTAGCGGGGCCTCTGTCCGAGGAAACTCGGAGGAGTGAGGGGCGGCGCGCTGTCGCCCCTCGATGCAAGGGACGCATGTAGGGCCTGGCCCTAGAGGTAGGGGAGGGAGAGATCGAGGGAGACCAGAGACAAGGACACGGGAGGCCATGCCTCGGAGACGAGGCAGGGAGGGGTGACCAAGGCGGTGGTGCTAGAGGAGAGTCTGGTGGGACACGAGACGACACGAGCAGTGAGCAGACTCAGGACCAGACCTGGACGCTGCAGCAAACACCTGACTTGACGCAGCTACCTGGGGAGACTCATCAGCCGGAGGAGACTCAGTAGTAAGGGTGTACAGGCTCGACCCTGGCCGATGGGTGAACGTGGCCAAGTGTCGACCTGTCCGAGCACACGTGCAGTGGGTCACTCGCTGACTCGCAAGAGTGAACTGGTCAACCCCCCTATCGTGTAGGTCCGCTCCACTCACCAAGTTCGTAGAGAACAAGGGGAGGTAGAGACCAGACAAGGTGCCAGAGCTAGCTGCCGGACACGGGAGGACAAACGGAGAAGTGAGCAACGACAGGACCCCCAGAGGGGTCTGCTAGAGAGACTGCAAGTGGTCGACGAAGCGGCGTGAGTGTGGTGCGGTCTCGAATGAAGGAGCGAGAAGCCCCTGAGTCAAGGGTGAAGGTGAGGGAGGCTGAAGCCGATGCGGTACCTGAGAGCGCAGACTCACCAGCGCCTGAGGAAGCAGACGCACTGGCACCTAGAGCAGCAGCCTCGCTAGCACCTAGAGCAGCAGCCTCACCAGCACCTAGTGCAGCGGCCTCAATGCCCGGGTCAGGCGGTACGCACAGGTAACAGTCACCCTCAACACTAGTAGTCACAGAATACATGGCAGCAAGGATAGCATCATAGTCAAGATCAAAGATGGCAACCCCCGCCCTAGACAGATCTCCCCAGCGAGGGATCTCTGACGCCTTAGGGAACTTGCGACGCCACGCATCCGTCATGCGACCGAAGCAGCGCTGGGTGGAGTGCGGGCCACTGCACTGCTCACCAGCTCGGTCGTCGGTACGGAGGACGTAAGTGCAGGGACCAAAACCCCCACCGCGCTGATGTGCACTGTACCACTCACGAAGCTGCTGAGGGGACAGGGTCACGCCACTCCGCTGCTGCTGGCGCGGACCACCACCTGTGCCACTCCTCTGCGCAGAGTCGCGACCGGCTCCGCCACCGCCGCCACCGCCGCTGCCGCCTCTGCCGCCTCCTCCACCTCCGCCTCGTCCGCCACCTCCGCCGCCTCTGCTCCCTCCGCCACCATCGCCGCCTCCTCCGCCTCCACTGCTGCCGCTGCCGCCGCCACCCCCGGCACCACTCCCACCACCACCCCCACTCCCTCCACTACCTCCACCACCACCTCCACCGCCCTCGCCAGCCCCACCCGCGCCCTTGCCCCCCTTTCCCTTGCCGGTGCGGCGTTTCCCACTCGGGGCAGACGCAGCGCCGACCGACTTGAAACCAACGAGGTCGGCCGCAGCAGCAGAGGCAACTGAGGGCAAGAGGGGAGAGGAAGAACACCCCTCAAAGACGGGGGTGCGAGGGTCACCACGAGAGGCTCCTACAGGGAGTGTTCTCTTCTCTGCCGCTAGAAGGGCCTTCTCGAGGAGGTCAACGGTGAGAGTGGTGGGAGCAACTTGGGGGAAGTGGTCCCTGACTACGCGAAGAGAGTCAGGGAGCCGGATGACTATGTAGTAGAGGGTGATGTACATGGGGGGGGGGGGTTCTTGGCGCAGAACTCAGCAGGAAGAGCAGCGCGGTAGCGAGTGTCACTAGTGCGGAGGTGCGTCATGAGGTCAGCGACTGTGGGAAAGGCAGTACGGTCAAGGAAGAGGTACGGTAGCATGAGGCGGCTTAGTGCAGCAGTGTTAGGGGAAGAGTAGCGTGCGACTACAGCGTCGTACAAGGTCTGAGCACTCTTGTACTGGCTAAAGTGCGCACGCTCAGTGGTCGGTAAGTGGCGGTGCACACCAAGGCGAGCAGCAGCATCGTGGGTGGCCCACTGTGAGCGAACAGTGGCTTCAGCATCGGCAGCAGGGGCAGGAGAGGCACCAGAAGTGAGGTCAAACAGGGAGAGACCGTCTGCCCTATCGCAGTGTAGGAAAAGCTACAGATCATCTACCCAAACCTCAAAGTCAACTGCCCGACCCTCAGCGTCAAAGGTGAGAACACTAGGGGTGGCCATGACAGCAGTAGACAGGCAGTGAGTACAGTGGGGCAGGGCAGTGCAGTGGCAGAGGCCCTACTCTTACCAGGTAAGTGAGGCGGACCCGGGCAGGCCGACAGGAAGTGGCGCCTCGGCTGCAGTGCGGCTCGGCGGCAAAACGCGGCTCGGCGGCTCGGCGGCAAAACGCGGCTCAGCGGCAAAGGCGGCTCGGCGGCTCGGCAGCACTGGCGGCTCGGCGGCTCAGCAGCTTTGTGGCTCTGCGGCGCAGCGGCTCGTTAGCTCGGCATCAAGGGCGGCTCGGTGGGGCCACTGAAGGGAGGCAACTGGGCCGCTGAAAGGGCGGCGTCAGGGCCGCTGAAAGGGCGGCGACGGGGCCGCGGAAGGGCGGCGACGGGGCCGCCGAAGGGCGGCGACGGGGCCGCAGGTAGGGGCGGCGACGGGGCCGCTGAAATGGCGGCGACAGGGCCGGGAAGGGCGGTGACGGGACCGCTGAAAGGCGGTGACGGGGCAGCTGAAGGGCGGCGACGGGGCCTGTGAAAGGGCGGCGACGGGGCCGCAAAAGGGCGGCGACAGGGCCGCTGAAAGGGCGGCAACAGGGCCGCGGAAGGGGTGGGAGGCGACGGGGCCGCTGAAGGGTGGCGACGGGGCTGCTGAAGGGTGGCGATGGGGCTGCTGAAGGGTGGCGACGGGGCCGCAGTTAGGGGCGGCGACGGGGCCGCTTAAAGGGCGGCGAGAGGGCTGCAGTAAGGGGCGGCGACAGGGCTGCTTAAAGGGCGGCTCGACGGGACTGCAAGGGCGGCGCGACGGGGCCGTGAGGGGCCGTAATAGGGGCTGCTAGAGGCTGCGAGGGGGGAACGACACGGGGCGCGACTCGAGCAGGGGCCAAGCGCGCTCCGGCCAAGGTCTCGGGTTCGAATCCCGGTGTATGCACTTCGGGCATCCCAGTGCGGGGGGGTGTCAGAGGTCCACTGGTGATCCCCGATTGATCCTAGGGAAGGGTTACAGGCACGTTGGCCTGGGGGGTTATGGGCGCACTGACCCGCTACTTAAACAAGCCCTTTTATCCCAATGGTCTAGTGGTTTGGATTCTGACAGTAGCGAGAATTGCACTAAGGTGTCAAACGAGTAGAGAATGTGAGCAAAGGCATGAGCGAACATTTATACGCGAAACATGCAAACGGTAACGTGGTGCGTGCGAGCTAGCTAGTGCTACGCTGGAAGCGAGGCTCGGGCTAGTCCCGAAGCGTAGGCCGACACGGCCGGGCCAGCAATGCGAGGTTTGGTAAAACAGTGCGCACGAAGTCGGCGAAGTCCCGTTAGCAATAACGGGCGAACATCGGCTGCTGCTGTACGCGATGTTGCAGGGTGCGCATAAGGAATATTGAGCAAATTCCTTACAAACATACAAATCTCGTTTGGTGTAAATCTACATCTTAGCATCAGCTCTTTCTACTTGTTTCATGTAGAAATTACATTCAGTATGGGTGGCTCGAAATGGGTAGTTTTTGTGAGGAAAAATCCTTTTCCTTAGTTCGCGTCCCCGCTCAGCGCGTACACCACTATAGCACCACAGTCAGCACCGTTACCACTCGCAACTCTCGCATCGACAATCCTCCCGCCACCTTCGCACGTCGCACCCTGACCTCATGGCTCGGCGGGTAACCCGCGCTCCGGGCCTCCGCTTCGACACTTTTTCCATCCTCAGTCCCAGGCCCGTCACGCGACAACCACAGTCCATTAGCGTTACCACTGTAGTTTCGCTATATATTCTTCGCTCATGCCTTCGCTCATTTGTACTTTTTCTTCGATAGTGCAATTCTCGCTCGCTCACTCAATTGCACACGTAAAACTTGGTATTCAGAGCTTACGATCTCTTCTTGGACCGCACCCACACCTTCGCTTCCTCACTATCTCGGGTTTAGGGTGGGGGGTAGACGTCTCTCAGCAACACAGCACCGCCACTCGTAGTGCTCTCTCGTAAGCACGCACGGCCACAACAGAGGCTCTAGCTGAGCTCGCCCGACACCCCCGCCACGCTCGCAACATTGACGCAGGAGCAGCTCGACCGTCTAGTGCGCCAACTTGAAGATTCGGCGCTCGAAATTGCGACGCTCACGGCGGAACGTGACTCCGCGAGTCAACAATCAACGGTGAACACTCCCGCGCCACCACACGCACCAACAAATGCATCTGCACAATCGGACGAACAGATCGTCATTTCGTCCAGCACACCAACATGTCACAATCCCAACCACATAGACCATTGGGATAAAAGGGTTTTTTTGTGTAGCGGGTGAGAGCGCCCATAACCCCCCAGGCCAACGTGCCCGTAACCCTTCACTAGGATCAATCGGGGATCACCAGTGGACCTCTAAAATCCCCCCGCACTGGGATGCCCGAAGTGCACACACAGGGATTCGAACCCGAGACCTTCGCTCTGATACCATGTCAGAATCCCAACCACTAGACCATTGGGATAAAAGGGCTTGTAAAGTACCGGGTCAGTGCGCCCATAATCCCCCAGGCCAACGTGCCTGCAACCATTCCCTTGGATCAATCGGGGATCGCCAGCTGACCTCTGACACCCCCCCGCACAAGGATGCCCGAAGTGCATACACCGGGATTCGAACCCGAGACCTTTGCTCTGATACCATGTCAGAATCCCAACCACTAGACCATTGGGATAAAAGGGCTTGTTAAGTAGCGGGTCAGTGCGCCTATAACCCCCCAGGCCAACATGCCTGTAGCCCTTCCGTATGATAAATCGGGGATCACAAGTGAACCTCTGACACAACACAACACGATAACATGGGACTGCGCTCAGGCGCAGCCAGTGATGGCGCCGCCCAGCCGATGCCTGGCATGGGAGGGAACAGGGTCGCACCAAGCCCGCGGGAGCCTCGTAAAGCCCGTCGGCACGTGGAGTTTGCGACGACAAGTGGCGAACAGGCCATCATGACACCAATGCCACTCAAGCCGCAACGCCCGCCCTGCTTCGACCGAAGCCAACGTGGAGGTCCGACGGTTCAATCGTGGGTCTTCACGATGAACGTCTTCTTCAACGCGAATTACGTCGAGTCGGACGTAGCAAAGATTCGGTATGCCGTTTCGCTGCTGAGGGGCCCCGCCATGGACTGGTGGCGAGTCATCGTGACGTCGCCACGCGCCTTTGAGCCACCGTCGCAAGAGGAAGGGCCCACGGGTCTAGCTATCACCTGGAGTTCGTTCTGCGAGACCGCCCAGTACAGCACGTGGGATGCGTGGTGCGCAAGGCTTCGGGCGTGCTTTGAGCCAATCGTGGCTTCTATTTCGGCGCATCAGAGACTGCGTACTTGGCGGCAGCTCGGATCGGTTCAAGTCTACACGAGTGGTTTTCTCGCATCATGCGAGCAAGTCGGCTACATGCACGAAGCGGAGCGGGTGGACCGTTACGTCAGAGGGCTGAAGCCGGACATCTCGCACGAAATCATGCTACGTGGGCTCTCGAAATTCAACGAGATTCTCGCGCTCGCTAAGAAAATCGACATTTTATGTCGTCCGTGACCGGGGTCCTACTACGGACATCGTCCTCGGGGACCGATCGAGCACGCCACTGTACACGCCGTTGCAATGAATGCAGCTGTCGCACTGTTTAAGGGGCGCTGCTTTGCTTGCAATAGGCCGGGCCATCGCAAGAGCGAATGCCCAGAGGAGCTGAGGCTCCGCGGAGCAGAGCAGGGGAAGGAGTATCAGAGGCAAGGAAACGCCAGCAGTCAGTAGGAGTCGGGCCAACTACTGACGAGACTGCCTGCTCGCCCAACCGCACCGACCCTCACCAACTCACAGTACCGATTCACGCCATCGATCGGGCTCGGATGAATAAAGAGGGTACAGCGACGGATTGCCCAGTACTGATCCACGGGAAAATACAAGGAGCAGTAGTGAAGATTTCTATTGACGGAGGAGCAAGCCATAGTTTAGTTAATACCGCAACCGCACGGAAACTGCAACTGACACTCAGCCGGTGCGTACCAGAGATCGACGCACGCTTAGTTGACGGCACGCCGCAGGCCATACGGGAGAAGGTGGAAAGAGTAAAAGTTTCTTGCGGGGGAAACTTCGGGTTTACACATGAAAACCATCAGATTAGGGTCAAACCATCGGACTGCACCAAAACAGCTTTCAGGACTAGGTACGTGTCGTTTGAGTACATTGTGATGCCATTCGGGCTTACCAACGCACCGGCGACTTTTCAGATGACCATGAACGAGGCGTTTAGGCCGCTCTTAGATAAATGTGTGATAGTTTACCTCGACGACATCCTAGTTTACAGTCAGGATAAGCAGCAACACTTAGCAGATCTAGAAGCAGTATTTAAGGTTTTAGACGAGCACAGAGTACTTATAATTTTTAGGGCACGTTATTTCGGAGGTTGGAGTTGAAATCGACCCAAAGAAGCTGGATACAGTAAAAGCGTGGCATCCCCCGACGAACATCTCTGAGCTGCAGAGCTTTCTAGGGTTTGTTAATTATGTGCGTCGGTTCGTCCCCGATATGGCACGATTA